CCGAACACATCCGCTCGGGGGGCTTCACTTCCGTCGGCCTCGTCGTCTTCTCTTCAGGCCGCCGTCGAAATAGAGTCGCAGCACCTCTCTCGGGCCCGGCCAGAGCGGATGGACTGCCCGTCCACTGACTCGGACGCCGCTTCGAGTCATCCACGCACCCTCCAGCTCGACGGCGATGCCAGCAGGTCCGTCTCCCAACCGGTTGGTAGAAGGTTGAACCGCTCGTTGGCCTCTCCGGAGACGGGGTCAGGCCTCGCAAGCGACTCGAATAGACCTGAACCACGCCGACACGGGTGGCCGGAGGCTTCGGAGGCAGCCACAGACTCGGCGTCGTCCAGTGCTAATATTCGCACAAATCTGCAGCCACAGCTCCAAGGCAACCCGCTACGGTGGAACCAACTTACGAATCCCTTCCACTCACCTCTTCAAACGAAATAAAAGGTACCCCAACATGTGTACAAATTGTTTGCCCTTGGCTTTGCAACTTGTAGTGACTGACCTTAATATCCGGAATGATTAGTCGCTAGTTCGTCTATGCACGTATTTGATTAAGATGACTAGACATTGTTATGAATAGTATTGACTCAGGACATGTTCCGTTCCTCTACGTCTGCCTGAAAATACGACCAAGTTGAGAAAATAGGGTCAAGCAACTCATAACAAAAGGAGACCGCGACCATACTAAAGACCACACAATCTTGGTCTTCATATCATCTGCGACGTAGTCTTCGCGAGGTTCAATGGACTCATTAGGCGTACTCATACGATGGTGAGAAAAATTCCACTATTAGTCCTTTAATTATCTTAAGGTTACTAAGATCCTATTAAAGAATTACTTAAGTTTCGAAACGATCGTGTTGAATAAAAATGAAGAAAGATCTCGGCAAGCAAGAAAAAACGCAACCAATCGTCGACACAGGGATAAAACGCGGAACAACGGCTAACAGCATGGGAAAAAATTGTTGGCTAGCCCGATTGGTGCAAGTCTAGCCCATAATACTGTTAAAAGAACATGAACTGAAAGACAGACATATTTCTTAATCTCTGCTAAAATACAGGGCGAGTAGCAGTCTCTAATAGACCCTTGTTTGGGGAA